CCAATTTTGTACAAATGTCTTGCTTCTTTTATCTAATTGTGCACTCACACTTGATTCAGGAAATGAAAACAGGCAGGAGCTGCACTAGGTATGGCCCCTAAAGATCTGAGGAAGACCTTCAGCTGGTGCCAGTGGCATTTCTCCAGCTCCAGATTAACTACAGAGTCGCTACAGATTAGCTACTCTCTCCTCTTCCCAAACTGTATTGGGTGATACTCAAACTGAAGAGCCAAATAAGGATCCATTCATTTATAAAACGGCATTAAGAAGCCAGAGGTAAAAGATACATTTTCTCCTCTTTTGGGATAAATCCCAATACAAGAGAAACTCATTTTCAGAGGTAAGATTGCTCCAAAACAGCGGCCACGATCAGACCAGGCTTACAGACTGTCGTGGTTTTACTCAGCTGGGCAGCCGAGCTCCACCACAACCATGCTCACTCCCTCTCCTCAAAGGAAAAGGAGGAGAAAATGTGATGGAAGGGGCTCAAGGGTTGAGATAAGGACAGGGAGATCACTCAGTGATTATTGTCACAGGCAAAACAGACTCGGCATAGGGAGATTAATAAAATTTATTACCTGTCACTAGCAGACAAGAGCAGTGAGAAACTAAAAAGCAAACTGAAAACACCTTCCCCTCATCCACCTGCTTCTCCCTCCTCCCCCCAAGTGTCACTGGGGGACAGGGCGTGGGGGCTGCGGTCAGTCCCTGACGCTTTGTCCCCACTGCTCTCTCACGGTCCCTCTCTGCCCCTGCTCCCCATGGGGTCCCTCCCATGGATGCCGTCCTTCCCAAACTGAGCCTGCAGGGGCTGCCCACAGGCAGCAGCTCCTCAAGAACTGCTCCCACATGGCTCCATCCCACGGGGTCCATCCCCCAGGAGCAAACTGCTCCAGCACGGGTCCCCCACGGGTGGCAGCTCCCCCCAGACCCCTGCTCCTGCGTGGTCTCCTCTCCACGGGCTGCAGCTCCTGCCTGGGGCCTGCTCCTGCGGGGGCTCTCCATGGGCCGCAGCCTCCTCCAGGCCACATCCACCTGCTCCCCCGGGGGCTCCTCCACCCATGGGGGGGCTGCAGCGTGGAGATCTGCTCCATGTGGGACCCATGGGCTGCAGGGGGACAGCCTGCTCCACCAGGGGCCTCTCCACAGCCTGCAAGGGAACTGCTGCTGAGTGCCTGGAGCACCTCCTGCCCTCCTGCTGCACTTACCTTGGGGGCTGCAGGGCTGGTGCTCACTCCTCTCTCCCAGCTGCTGTTGTGCAGCAGTTTTTTGTTTGTTTGTTTGTTTTGTTTTGTTTTTTATCCCATCTTAAATCTGCTCTCACAGAGGTGCTTAGAGAGCTTTTTGGCTTGGCTTTGGCAAGCAGCAGGTCCCACTGGAGCCAGCTGAAACTGGCCCTTATCTAACAAGGGGCAGCTTCTAGATCCTTCTCACCGAGGCCACCCCTGCAGCCCCTCACCACCAAAACCTTGCCACATAAACCCAATACACAGACGTAAAGCCCCAGCTGTACGGAAAGAAGAAAGCGATGCTGGCAACTGCTTGACTATCAGTTCAGAAAAGGGAATCCCCTCCAGGCTGATGTGGAAATGATGGGTGAAGAGAGTGTCTTTGCCGTGGCAATATTAATAGCTCATTTGCAAATTTTTACCCAAATCTATTCACTTCAAAAGCTCAGCTTGGGGACTCGGAGAGAGATTTTTCAACAAAACATTAGTCTCAATTAACTAAATGTAACTAAGATAAATGAGATGAAAAAAAAAAAAAAGAGAGAGAGAGAGAAACTGAAGCAGATAAAACTGGTGAGGCCATTAAATTCATAAAGTGAAGATGCTGAAACTTGGAAAGCATCCCAATACAGTCCTGCAAGTATTCAGAGGCAGGGTCAAAAAAGGATAACAGGGCCCTCCCAGGCTGGAGATGCTGAGCAGCCAGACGCTATTGACACAGACAGTCAAATTTCAGTGCAGCCCACAGCAAACTCTGGGCACCAAGGTGGGAAGGAATTTTAATGAGCAATTTCAGTCTCACACATGCTATAAAAAAGCACCTGGCATCCTCCCCATTGATACCAAAAAGCTGTGCCCTCCAGAGTAGAGACTAGGTCACAGCATCCTGAAGGGAGGGTGAAAAGAGACCATGGCAGAGTTTCTTTCTTTCTATCTTTGATCCTGACATACTAATATTAACGCGTGTATGTACGAGCTCTGTAGGATTAAAAACAGCAAGAAGGAGAGGAGAGGAGAGGAGAGGAGAGGAGAGGAGAGGAGAGGAGAGGAGAGGGAGAGGAGAGGAGAGGAGAGGAGAGGAGAGGAGAGGAGAGGAGAGGAGAGGAGAGGAGAGGAGAGGAGAGGAGAGGAGAGGAGAGGAGAGGAGAGGAGAGGAGAGGAGAGGAGAGGAGAGGAGAGGAGAGGAGAGGAGAGGAGAGGAGAGGAGAGGAGAGGAGAGGAGAGGAGAGGAGAGGAGAGGAGAGGAGAGGAGAGGAGAGGAGAGGAGAGGAGAGGAGAGGAGAGGAGAGGAGAGGAGAGGAGAGGAGAGGAGAGGAGAGGAGAGGAGAGGAGAGGAGAGGAGAGGAGAGGAGAGGAGAGGAGAGGAGAGGAGAGGAGAGGAGAGGAGAGGAGAGGAGAGGAGAGGAGAGGAGAGGAGAGGAGAGGAGAGGAGAGGAGAGGAGAGGAGAGGAGAGGAGAGGAGAGGAGAGGAGAGGAGAGGAGAGGAGAATAATGTTAACTGATTTTAAGGCATTAACCCAATTTTTTATGAGCATCTATAGCACATTGCACATTCTCAGGAAAAAAATAACGCATGTAACTAGTGGTATCCACTTAAAAGCCTATTCTCTGATGCCTTCAGAAAGACCAGCACCTCAGCTCTCTCAAATGGGGCAGATGTACAGCAGTACCACATGGGGTGGCAAGTTTTCCCCAAAAAACACAGCAGATGAACCAACGTGAGCAGCGAGGGCAAAATAATCAGAGTGCTCTTCATGCATCCGAGGGCATCAAGAATCCCAGCTGCCTTCCCCAAAGCACCCACAATGTACCATTAGCCCGGGGCAAGGGAGCCAGGTGCTTCCCCTAAAGCCACTGCACCCAGCTGGGTGGTGGCAGATGGCTGCTGGGGATGGTTTTCAGCTGGGAAAAACAGGAATAAGAGCATGCCCCAGGGCTCGTCTCATCTCTGGATGCTCCCTCCTGAGCCCCATCACACCCGGCAGCAGCAGCACCTGAGGGTCTCCGTTCCCCCAGCAGGGCCAGGACAGCTCGTGGGCTCCTTCGGCATCACTTAGGCTACAAGAGTAGAGCATGGTCAGCTGGCAAAACTCATAAAAGCCTTCCTCTACCACCACATGGCTGGAAGAGCAATGTGCACATCACTTCCCAAGCTCCGAGCTGTGCCACACCATGCAAGCCCCCCAGAAAATCTGCATTTTCTCTTTTTTGAGGCATTGTAGCGCTGCACAACGTGCACTCGGCCCCCTAGTGAGAGTAATTCCTCAGCCAAGCTGCTGAGCCACAGAGGGCTGCTTTGCTTCATCTGTTACTGCTACAGTTAGTTAAAAGGACTGATTTTCCACCGCGGTGCTGCTTGTTTTCATGCGATCATTTTCATTATCTCTAACCAGCCTTTTGTAAACCAGTACCCTGCAAGAAACCCCCAAATTGACCACAGTGGCAATCAAGGCACGCATGGTGCTCATATTCAGATAAAGAAAAACCTGGCTCTGTCTGATGCCCAGCGTGCCACCTCTCTGCTTCTCACATGGCTCCAGATGTAGGTCTGCAGCAGCCCTTAGCCAGCAGCAGCATCCCCTGGATGTTGGACACACACCGTCATCCTTTCAAAGTCTCTTTTCAAAATAGTCAGGAACCGGAGTTCTTGAAAGCAATTAAATCTGTGAAAGGAAAGATATACAAACTCCTTTTTCCCACACAAACTTGTGAATAGTGACATCTTCGTACCTGTTCAGAGAAGGCCTCATTGCTTTTGAAAACATAAGGTAAATCTTTTCCAGAAAAAAGGTTTTAAACTATTGGATTTTCTCCTCTTCCCTGGGGAAGATTCAGAAATCTGCATGATTTTCCACATCAGTGTCTTCTTTCAGCTTTTCCACTCAAAAATCAAACAAGTGCAACTTTGCTATGTAGACTGTTTCTGTTATTTATTTGTGCTTTCTCATGTAGACAGGACTGGGACTGGCTGTTTCATGGCAAGGCATCTCCAGTGGCTTTTGCACAGGCCTCTGCTAGCAAGCTAGCATGGATGAGCCCTTACAGCTGGATAAGGGGCTTGCTGGCTTGCCAGTGGCTGGGGGTTCCCTGCAAGGTCACCTTGGTCACTGCATTTCCAGTGAAACGTGGGGGATGAGCAGAGACAGGACTCCCTGCTCTCCTCCATCGGTTATCCTGACCACGGGTCTGCCATGCCAAGTTGAGTTCACCTTTGGAACTTAAGGCAAGCAGGAATTTACCTCAAATCTTTCCTTGGTGGGTGCTAATAAAAACCCCTGTATGATGTGTCCTCAGAAGATGACCCAGGCCTACATATATATAAGTATGCTCAGGGTACATCTTCCAGATCTCTGGCTGAAACTTCTGCAGCCACTGCCATTTTCTGTGGTGAAATTGTTCCCAAAATGGGATGGGGACTTCCCTCTAGGCCTCAGATGGCTTAACTCAGACCTATGATTACCAGAAGTTCTGTGCAGCTGCTGTGCTTTAATGGCACTACAACGTTTTTACCACTATAAAATAGCCTGGTTAATGTGATTTTCCTCCTGAAATGTCTTCCTGGTGAAGTGTGCCCAAATCACAGTGTTTCAGCTGCCACAGAGAACACACTGAAGTGGGGAAGGAAAAAAAAAAAAATAGAAGCAAAGGAAGCAGGGTGAAATAGAAGAGAGAAAAAAAAAATAAAAAATAAAAATAAAAAAAAAGAGGCTTATGTGGAGAGTAAAACCATAGGGAAACACGGGATAAACAAACATAGATCACTCCTTGGTGTCAAGTTTATAAATGCAATACCTTATTTTAATTTTCTTAGAGTTTTGAGACATAAATTGATACATTTCTGGTTGAAATTGTTCATATTGAGGATAAACTCCTCTGATAGTATCGGTTAGACCTTGAAGAGGTTATTATCTGTGATAACGTAATTAAATATTATAAAGGCTATATATGGTGAAACTGAGCTGAGGTGGCCGGGGAAGTTATGACACGGTTATTTCCTCACAGCTGAATACTTGACCTTGGAACCGGAGCATTTCTTTGTGGAAGTTTTCACAAGTGATATTAATAGGGAACTTCTGCGGCTTGTCACAGACTTGACAAGCATCCCCAGTGACCGTGTCCCTTGTTGTCTTTCTGCTTCATTACATGTGGCAAGAATGAGAGATGGAAAGAGTGAATGAGAATTTTAATTGCTTTGAAAAGAAAGATGAGCATGTCCTGTCCGTGTCCAAATTTATGCGGAGTCACTTGTTGGGTATCTGGCTTTTGGCCTGTGTGAGACAACAATGAAAGGGTTAACAGGGAATGTCATAGATAATTATTTTAAAGGTAATAAATATGTAATTAATTTCTAGTCTGCATTTTGCAATAATCCAATATTGCTCCACTGCGTTCCATGGTAGTCTCACAACTCACTTTAATCAGATTGCAGATCTATCACGTGAAGTAAAATCCAGCATTTAAATCACCCCTTTACTCTGAAACCCCAGTTTCTTCTCCAAAGATGCACAGTAGTGCTACTCCCATTGTACAGATGCAGACGCTGATGCTACAGAGTAACCCAGGTGGTCAGGCAATGGGGCAAGAAATGAATAATTCGTATCATGCTTAAAGAAACGAACTTCAAAGAAGCTACAGATTTTATTTCCAATGGAAAACATCATCTTTATTATTTACAAGGGACGTTCAGATTCTCCTTGCAATATACTTTTAAATGAAGTTTGGAAACTGTATTCCAAATATTTATTACAAAATAAAATATTGCCTTATCTATTACCTGTTTTCTGCTATTTTCTTCCCTAAATACCCAGGCTGGCTCAAGGGCTCTCGGCAGTGTAGGCAAAACTGTGCACCACAGGGAGAGGCAACAGTACCATGACAAGGGGGACAGGATGGGACAGGGCAGTGCAGGGGAGCAGGGCTCAGCCCCACGCACAGTGCAGCAGCCATGTGAGACCCCAGATCCTGTGCAGGTGATGCTTTGGAGGGGGGCAACCCTATTTCTGAGGCTGCAACAGCCACTATGGGCAGCATCTGGCCTCTCCAGGACCACATCCTCCAAGTCAGCCTTGGCATTTACAGGTTTGCAAAAGCTTTGATCAATTAGGAGTAAATCTTCACAGTTTTCTCTAAAAGTGCCTGGCAAACACAGAGAGTGCATCTCTGCTGCATCTTCCATCATAGCCTGTGAGCTATTTTTATTTTATTTTATTTATTTATTTATTTGTTGCATAAGGGCTGCTACTGAGAGCAAGAGGCAGATCTCTGGATGGTCTACTCCAGTGGGGACCACTGGTTTTGTCTCACAGCAATGTGTTATTTCCCCTTTGTCTGGTGACTCAAGGTGTTTTAGTGCAGAGGATGCATTAAAAACCTCAGCAAACAGAGAATTAGCTGCGATTTTCTCTGTTATAATAATAAAATCACAGCATTGCCAAAAATAATCACCTCATTTATGTATCAATCACAAGGCAGAAACTGCTCTGGAATCATCACCGCTTGTAGGAAATTGCCTTAACTGTACAGATAGGAGAACAAAATGCTGATTTTTGTTATCGTGAAAGAAAAACTCATATGTCCTTCAACCCGCCTATATTTCAAAGCCCATCTGAAGCCGAGCAGCAGCTGGAGCAGCTCCTCGCCGTCCGTCAGAAGCACCGGTGATGGATTGTGTGTATGCCCGCAGATCTCTGCCACCCCCCAAGCCAATCTCTTGGACCAGGCTGAACACAAACAGGGTTGCACAGGACCACCTGCTCTCCATTGTGCTTCATAATGTGTTCCCCAAGCCGAGACACGGCTGGGAATTTAGCAAATCCAAGTTCAGAGGAGGCAGCTAAGGACAGCAGGGTGTCACGCAGTGGGCTGCAGAAGAGGTTCATTTGTTTTCCAGTTGCCAGATTGCTACAAGGCCCTTCCTTCAAAACATGCCTTTTGCCTACCTGCTCAGCAAACACAGAATAATAAACACTAGTATGACCGTGCAACAATCCTCTGGCTTCAGCTTACACCAAACACAAACCAAATGGCTTAGAGGAGCCTGGGCAGCAGCAGCCGCTGCAGAGAAGGAGCTCACAGCAGGACTAGGAAGCCTTTGTCTCTGTCTTCTGCACGAAGCCACACTTCTCCAGGCTCCTGAGAGATTTAATCGAGCTGGCAGGGCAGTTCCCAGGACGTCTTCCCCAGTCTTTTGCCTAAGTCTGGTTCACACGTTGCAGTTTCAGAGACCTCTCCCCATCATGTCGCACTGATGCCTTGCACTTGGCATTCGTGGGCTGTTGTTGTACAGCTGCAGAGGGAAAATCACCCAAGAACTAAGTTTGTAGCCCAAGCTGAGGTCGCATCTCTCTGTAATAATGAGCTCTCCAGCACAACTGCCTAATTTCTTTCCAGATTAAAAAAAAAAAAAAAAAAAAAAAAGGGGGGGGGGGAGGGGGGAATACCAACTCCTTTTTACAGCTACTTTTTATTTCCTGCTTTGTACCTCAGGAGCCAACTTTCCACTTACTCCATTACTCTGCATCACGAACATTGTACTCTGATCTGAAGTTTTGCCAAATGCTCTCAAAAGCTATTGCACTCCCCTTGTATACCGTAACATTAATATCCTCAAACAAGCTCACTACATTAACAAGTTATGACCTTTCTTCCTAGCATACGATTGCTTTCCTGTCTTTTGCGCCTGCCTCTGGGTTGGTTTTCCATCACTTGTTTATTCCTCTCTTTTGTTAAGAACATGCTGAAGGAATTTCTTAATCACTCCAATTACAAATTCATATCTCTAATCTCCCTGAACGTTTATTTTTTCCAACCATTAAGGTTTTCCTTTGAATAACAGTTGGCAAGCAGCAAGGATTGTTCCTGCATCTGAAGTTACAGCTGAAATCCACACAGTGTCATTATATCCTATGATAAAAACGTAGCAGGATTTGTCTGATTGTTTCTAGTGAATAAAATGTAACTTGGAGTACATGCCAGAATGGATGCCCTCAGCAAAAGCAGAGATAAACCCCAGTTTAAACCGGGTCCTCAGAACTGACTCGGGAGCAGCTAAATTGCCATCCATTTTGTGTTTGCACCTTCATTTAAAAGCAAAAATCAAAATGAAAAATAAAAATGAGAGTAGAGGGAACCAATTTATACTTCCAGTCCAGCCCAAATTATCCAGACAGTCTCTCTTAGTCCCATGTCCTTCCCCCTGGCCTGACTCACCTGGTTTGAGAAGGGACACCTGGGGCAGGTGAGCTGATGGGATCCACGTTACTTGACCATGGGAAGTGGGAGCGGGGGGTGAAGGGCACCAAGAGGCACTTCGGTTTGATGAGGGGCTGATTGGAGAAGCATCACTCAGACAGTTCAAGAAGGAGCAAATGAGGTGAGGAACAGTGCAGAAAAAATGTGGAAAAGGGAGGGGAGAGAGAGAAAAGCACACAATGTGGTTTCTGTTGCTTCTTATTAGCAGCACAGCTTTTATATTCCTTAAGGAAAGTATCTCAGTGCTGTCAAAACAACCAAGAACATCAGCACAAGTCCTCACAGGTTGTCTTATCTGAGCAACACATGTCTGTCAAGGTGCATAAAAATCAATAGGTGGTAGCAAGTGTTCACATAAGATGTCAAGCAGGTGAGGAACCAAAGCTGCAGCCCCTTCTACCCATGCAGCAGGGCACTGCGGAGGCCAGAGGCAGGGTTTGGATGACTCCAAGAGCTGTCATACAGCGAGGAGGCTCTGGCAAACACCGGGAGCTGTACGGTGCCACTGCCTAGCAGAGCAGTGCTGCACACGCTGGGGTAACCAAAATGAGAAGCAATCGGGCACGGTGCATGCAGGGGAGCCACAGAGAGTGTCAGACCTGTGTGGTGATGCTCTCGTCACTTGTGCAGCTGCTGTTTCGAGCCCTGTCACCAAGCATGGTGTCCCTGGGGCCGACTGCCTCATCCCACCTGAGCCCGCGGACGCGGCAGCCTGGTGCCCACGGGGATGCACGCTTCCTTCGGCACGGCTTCTGAGATGCATCACACACAATGACATTCACAATGGACATGATATTCTGTGCATACTGAAATATGTATCACCTATACACGTATACTTTCATTTTTTTTGTGCCTACGTATTTTCTGTATTTTCTCACATTTTCTGTTTCTCAAAACACAGAACAAACTGAACAAGACAACCTGAGAACATCCACACTCAGGAAGAAGTCACACAGCACCAGTTAAACAGACTGATAAAGTACCAGTGCTCATCCCATATTAAAAAACAATTTCTGAGTTTAATTATTTTTTTTTCAAAGATTTCTTTTTTCTTTATCTTAGAATTATTGCCAAAGTGTGGGGGGGAAATAAATAAATAAATAAATAAATAAATAAGCAAGCTGTTTCCCTGGTATCTGGCTTAGTCACAGCAGGAATTTACACAAGTCTCTCAAGAAAACTGTAGGTCCACTTCTTTAGTGTGATTTTAAAGCTGGAGGTGGCCTGTGTTATCACCATGGCCCTGTTTAAATGAGTTGTTCAAGGGGTCAGACTTCCAATCTTGGGCTTTTATTCACAAGTACTTGGTTGAACTGTGTCCAGCTTCTTCCTATTCACTATATCTGATTTTTGCTGCTTTCCCCACTTACTTACCTTCAATATATTGAAGCCTGATTTTAAATCAGACTTCTCTTTTGTGTCATTTACTTACAAATTTGGGGAGGAGGAAAGCAGGAAAAGAATAAAGCATACCCTAATCAATCTGAACAAAAGGAAGAGCTGCAAAAATTACCACTTTCAAGCTTTCTGAGAAAGATACCAGTTTATCAAATATCAGTGCACTCACGCATATTTGCCTCTTCTGCTCTTGGGTCAAGTTACGGTAACACAGTAATGTCTTCCGGTTTTCCTTTTCGCTGAAAATTGTTGCGTACGTGCACCTTTCCTTCTGTTCAGAAGTGGTAAAATCCTGCTGATAGCCATCAAAAGCAGAGTTAACAACAATGCAGTTCTCAGAACTTAGGTGTGAACATTTCAAGGGATACCTGATAACAGAAGGGAAATAAAACTCTTGACTTGCAGTCCAAGCAAGCAGCCTGAAAGAAACTTTATTGTATTAACCACAAAATTCCCATTGCAAGACATATATTTGTGTTTGTTTGCTTTTTAAACAATACTATTCTGGTATTTTAAGTTGTAAGAGAGAGCTAAATTTACTCTACAAAGACTAATTTTAAATTCTTCTGTGGAGAGGAAATACATAAATTAAAAATGATTATGCTAAAATGGCTTCATGATAATATGCGATGGTGAAGAGTCTGAGTGTGTTACAGACATCTGCTTTGCAAGCAAAAAAAAAATTATCAAGGCGGTCTCAATGACACTCCAAACATTGCTGTTATGTGGCTTATTTCTTCTCCATATTCATCTCCCTACCCTGGAAAAACAGACCTACAAACCACACCATCACTACCAACATCAGATGTGAAAATTGAGGGGGGAAGGAAAGGAAATACAGCACCAACAGCAGGAAAATCAGGAACATGGGATGGACTGGGCAGTTGTCTCTGGGAAATTGGAGGCCACCACATAAAAAAGTTGCTTTCATAAATTGATCAAAATGACAAATTAAGGTGACAGGCAGTTCATAGGGGAAAGTTAGGGGATACAAGAGGTTAAAGATACCAATTTTTGCCTTGTTGGTCCTTACCACATGGCTGCAGTAGCCATAAGGCACAATAACTTGTCAGCTTCTCAGCTGTACAATTACTTTTAGGCTGTTCCATTTATACACAATTTGATCAGTGAAGCAGATCATGCAATTAATACAAGGAACAAAAACTCATCACTAGAGATGTGGCTTCTGCTGCCCCTGAACCGACTGAAAATTACCAAGAACCAGCCCCCACGAGGAGGTAGCAGACCCACTCTTCACCTCCTAAGCTTGGCACAACAAGCTAAGTGCTCACAGAAGGCAAATTTCATTTTGGATGGAATAAAAAAAAAAAAAAAGTAGTTTTTATTTCTTCATTTCCCGCTGTCAGCTGTCAGCTGTGCCTTGCGGAAATGAGTAACAATTTATGATGCCGGGCACTAGAGAGATCTTAGTAGTTTGTGAAGTAGTTTCCATCTAGCTTTCACAGCGGTTCTGTGCAGAGCAGGAAAGTTGACTTGGCACTCAGGATCTTCTGGCTCAGTTTTGCCACTCTGCGTTTGCAAAAGAGGTTGACCGTGTATGACATCTTTAGTAAGGTAATTCCACTGCCAGTGTAATACAGCAGATAATTGTGCTTGTTTTCTATTCAGGTGCTGTAGAGAGGGAAGGGACCAGTGCTTACAACCATCTCTTTTCACAACATAAAGAAATCAGTAGGAGCTTTACCACCAGCAACCAAGGGGCCCGAGGAACAGAGGTGCTGGTGATTCAGGTGCTGCACACATCCTGCAATCCAGATTTGAAAAGTAGTTGTAACAGCTCAAAAATGTAACATCTCTTTGCTTTTCATACGGGAACATGAGGATTGCCTTTCTGTTTTCAGTAGTCGTATCTTCAGCACCCAGTGTAAATTCAGAGACTCCAACATAGTGCTTTGATACTAGTGCTAAAATACAATGGTGTGAGTGCTTGCACAAAGCATAGTTTGGGATTATATGACAGTAACTGACTACTTTCAAAAACACATACTTCTAGATTTCCAACACTGAGGATGTCAAAAAGAGAGTGGAAGACATGATGTTACCAGCTTGTGAAAGCAAATCGTGTTGCACCGTGACCCTTTGCACCCTGCCTTCTTAAAAACCTCATGGAAGAACTTCATAAACCCAACTTCCTTCCAGTAGGCAATCCTGGTCACTTACTGAAGATTTCATTAGCAGTACGATTATTCCAGAGAAATCTTTCATCAAAAACGTAACCCAGAGTGATAAATCACTCAGAACAATAAAATCACTTGCATGAACAAACACAGCTTCTATCGGTAATTGTGCTTGCTTGCCCTAGGCATGTTTGTTACATACGGGAAGCAATAATGCTTGTGGTTACTATTCCCAATATCACATTTTTCTTTCCCAGTTCACACTTATTCATAGCAATGCTTATCCAGCAGCAGTTATATAAGATGCAATCCAAACATTCATAATCAACCTCTCACAAACAATAAGCTGCATTAAATTAGCCCCTGACGTGCTTTGTACCAGCAAAGCAATTTGCAGATCCTTTATGAAATATTAGTCCTACTATTTGACAGCAGCCATTATGGCCATTTTTTTCTGACAGCATTATATGCAAGGGCTTGGTTATATGATCTCTCTGTGGCTGTCACCTAACTGAGAGATCCTCAGGCAAAAGCACAAGTTTGGTTTCATTATTTCCCGTTTTCTGGGAGCAGGAGTACATACCCATCTGATCTGACATCATAAGATGTCCCAGAAGCAGCACGAGCACTGGCTGAGTTCACTGATTTCCACTGTTTGTGTCCATCACATCCTGTTCATTACAGCATTTCTGGGGACCCTAAACTGTGCTTTTGCCTTGATTAACTCATTTCGCCTGTTAAGTTGTGTGTACTGCTTACTGACTGTTCTCCAGGATAAGTCCTTTCCACGTGCCAACCATCAGCCTTTGAGAGCAGAGGATGTTGCTTTCCTTAGTATTGGGGGCTTTCCTTTTTAAAAACCTCCTCTGTAGGACATGCTTCTTGCTCTTCTCTGTGGGAACCTGTCCACATCTAATCACCTAGTGCCATGCCAAATTACAAAAAAAGAAAATTCTGTGTGTAATTTAACTTGAAAAGTAACGGCAACAAATCAGTATTACAAATCATTTACTTTCTTATCAACATTGATTTCATAATTATTATGTATAAGTTTCTTCCTAGTGCCTTTTCCACATCGTTGAAATAGTCATTTCCATTTCATCATACTTCTTGAAAATTTGCAGCATGTAGGAAACGTTCAGACCTTAAAAATTTACTGGTAGTCAGCTCCAGATACTATTAACTCACAAGGTCTGCCTCTGCAGTCCTTGTGCCATGTCCTACCGGTAGGTAGTTTCTACCAACCTGATAACTACAAGAACACATTTGTTTTTTGTTCTGACAATTGTATTCAGCAGACAGTATTTCATATTTTGTTTTGCACAGCCACCTCGGAAAGATGATACAGGTATAACAGCATGTTAAGGAAAAGAACAGCTGCTGAATGTCAAAGCAGTACCCGCTCACTCGGCGAAGATTGTCATTAGTGTCAGGAACGGAGGCAGCCACTTCTCTGTCCACTCAGCTGTGGTAAACAACAGGAGCCAAAACCAGAGGGGCTGATGCATCAGCAGGAGTGGCACATGGAGCAGAAGGATTAGTAGGAAATGTACACAAGCATTAGAGAATATATTCTATGGCCACAAAAGTTTCTGTACCACAAATCTAAAACTACCAAGACAAAGAAATTTAGTCTATTATAGCTCTCTCTGTTGACTTGAAATAGACTTGATAAAAAAATTACCCAAACTTCATTCGATTCCAGTTTAAGTATGAACTTCAGGTAATGTCTTTTTTCCAAACCAAAGCAACTAGGGCACTAGCTAGAATGGAAATATAAATGATTACTTAGCTCACGTCTGATCTTACAGAGTCAGCAAAAATAAGCAAGGTAAAATGAGGACTTTAACCACAGAAAAAGAAATGTAAGTATAATAAGCATGTCCCTGGTGTATTTGTATTGGTTTAGTAGGTTGTATTTTGCTCTGTTCATGCTTGCATTTAATTTAAGGAAAAAGAAAAACAGAGTATTGGCTTTTAGCACGCAAAGATAATAATAAACTAAAAAAGGCAAAGCCTGAAAGAAAGCAGAGCTGCCAGTGGGCTCTGTTATCAAGTCTGAATGATGAGTATTTGAAAATACATTGGTTGGTCATTTCAACATTAAGCTATGAATAATCCTCCCCTGCACAGCAGGACACAGTATTTATACTGTGGTTTTCTTCGAATACAGTTATCTGCTCTTTCTTATCCCAAAACTCAATACAAGCCCCATATCCTACATCATATTCTAAAGCCCAAAGAAATTGGGTTTGCATGTAAGATATTGGCATTACTTGTGCTCTTGATTTAAATATTAAAGAATTGAGTTTATTTGCTTGTATTAAATCAAAATTGATTCAAGATTTACAGTTGAAAAGTCTTTAACAGTATACAATGCTGTGAATTAATGTGTTTCTTTGACCTGGAACCATCATACATTTATAATTCTATATATCCCACTTATCAATGAACACGAAGGTTTCTTACAATAGAGTTTTAGTCAAATTTCTATTAATTAGGTTTTCTAAAAAATGAAAACATAAAAGGCTTGTATAACATCACAAGTGCTTATGACAGCCTTTAATTTGATAGCCTTCAAAAACTGCAGAAAACTGTCTAGCAAATTTCTGTTAGGAATGCCATCTTGTGGTTAAAACTGTATATAACCACGACTCCAGGTAAACTTAGCTAAATTTTTACCTGCTAAATATCGTTTATACAGAAATTAGGTACTCGTATATGACCCTTCAAAATCTACACTATTCATTTACTAACCATTCTGGATGAAAATGTCTGTGAATATGGATTTCCCTTCCTCATCTGTATACAATGCTAATTAATTATGCAGGGAGCACAACTTTCATTAGGAGATGGTATGCATTTATTAGCATTTTAAACAGAAACAGATTGCACATGCATTTAGCAATAAATAAATAAATAAATAATTTTAAAAGCCCACTTAATGCCTACTTTATTTAGATATAATTTAGTGGATTAGTTTCAAATGTAAGAAAATATGAGCATTTTTCTCAAAACATTTCTAGAAAAGAACCCTTTTGCACATACTACCTCTGCTAAGCTTTATGGAACATCTCTGGTTGCTATACAAAAGGTCAAGTTGAACTATAAAAAGGAAACACTGGATGTTTCAATTTGTCTTAAATAGATCTTATCGTGAGCTGAAAATGAATTGAAAATGGCTGTTGGATCACAAATTGCTCACTAAAGCACAGAGAAATGCCAGGTAAACAAGAATAGAAAGAAGGGGTCCAAAAGCATCTAATAATCTCTAAGAGACGTCTAATTTTTAAAAGCTGAGAAAAACAAATAATCAATAGCTACATTCAATACAGCTGACATTTTCATAGGCAATTCCCTACTACTTACGTTCACATAATTTTCATAATGAAAGTATGCATTACACAAACCATCACAACACATATTGTATAATGAAATTTAAAACTAATGAGCCATATCCTAATAGCCATGAGTCAAGTCAGGATGTGCATTAGTAGACCATTTGCAATTCTCTAGTGGCAGAAAGAACAAGGCTAAACATATCCAGTAGCCCATTTAGAGCACAGCTTGTTCTTTGTACTGGTAACAGTAGAGCAGAACTGAAATGAGTTTGCAATCTTTAACGCTCAGGCAGGCCTCTGTGAAATATTGTTCATACTTCTGTTAGCATGTAAGTTACTCCTGGGGCAGCCAAAAAGGACTGCTGTGATTATTTAGCTTGACCTCTTGCATAACATGGATCTGGCTCGCCTGAATTTCTCCTCTATCAAATCACATCTGTTCAGAAAACCATCTAGTACTTCCAGACTAGAGAAACCTTTACCAATCTGTTAACTGCCTTTACTTCTTGCAATGTGTCTAGCTGTATTTACAATCACTCGATCACTCCTTCTCTGCTAGACTGAAGAGACCTTTATTTTATTAACAAGTTTTTGCTTCAATAATTTTCTTCTAGGCTAACTTTCCTATCATTAAACTTAAGCAGATTCTATTTACCAAGACTCCCGTGACATTACCTTTTTAATCTTTTTATTCCTCTTACAACTCTTTTCTGTCCAACTTTCCAGTATTACTGGAAAAGTTAGGCACAGCATTCTTGGAAAAGGTTGTATCAAAGTGAAATACAGACAGCAGCATTACCTCCCTGTCAACATTCCCATTTCTAGACCTGAAAATCTCACTGGTCTGTTTGGCCACAAGGCATGCTGACAATTCAAGTTCAGCTAAGCACGCACCCCACCTCCAGGCACTCTTCAAAGTCAGCATTCCCTACAACACAGTGGTCTATTTGGTAAGTATGACCTCAAGCTTCTGCTCCTAGAGACATTGTTCTACTTTAGGCCACAGTAAAATGCAGATTTTTCACAGCTCCCTACTAAATAATTCATCCTACTCTGTTTAAGTGGCTCCTCGGTATTTAAATTTTGTGGCATCCGCAGACTTGAGCACTCATTGTTAAACCTGCCTTTGTGTTCTCAACAAACTGATGATTAATAACCAAAACCTGAGTGAACTCATGTAACAAATCTGTGCAGTCACAGCTGTCCTTTCAGAATTACATTTTCAGATCTCAATTAGCGTCATGATGAATTTTAAATTGGATGCTAATAATTTACATGTTCCTATAGCAGTAAGTAATTTAAAATAAAAGAAAATTTAAGATTTGAATCTAGATTTGAAAATCTAAGGGTATTCCAAATAGCAGTAATGAAAAATCTAAATATTAGAGCAAAAATGTCTCTGCTATGTAACTGACTTTGTAAAGCTTGGGATACACTTTCTATGAAAAAAAAAAATGCTTTCTTTTGTAGCACAGGAGGAAATACTATGGTTCCTCCACTTAGTTAAACTGTACATAAACAAGTAAATCAGGTGCTTTCTTAATTCTGTCAATCACTTACCACTTTATTTCCTATGCATTAGCCTCCTACTCTGTGCTCTGTTCTGAACCTTGCATCCATTTTATTACACCAGTCATGGAAGTATCCGGAGATCACCTTTAAGAGCCATCAGAGAATAAAGTCTTCTGGAATAAAAGGCAAAAACTGTTTAGATCCACCAATGCACCTGAAGATCCTCGACAGTTAAAATACCTAAGCTGGAGGGCAAGACTGTGACTGATATCTTTTAGTCTGGTGCCTTCTGAAAGATCTTGCTGAAACAACAGCTTCCCACTTTTGATGAGCATGCTGCACACGTTTTATTAAGTATTATGAAAAAACACAGTAACATTTACTTCTTTCTCAAAGTGCTAACATACATTTGGAATTATCTGTTCATGTTAATTTACTGAAATTCAAAGTTTGTTGCATTAGTATTTCAGCCATTCAAAAGTATGGTTTACATACCCAGAACCTTGAAATCACACTCCAAGTAAACCAAAGCACTTCTCTCTAAGCCAACTGTCACTAGACAACCAGTTTATCACCTCCATTGAACTAAGTATGAATAAGAGAAAGATGTAACTGGAATATATTTCATTTTCAGTAAAAATTTTGCAGAGGACAGACTTTCCACACAGCACCAGATAAATCTGTGGTGCAAACCAAATAAAGTGTTTAGACATTTGCTATTTTTGTGTCTTTTTTTTTTTTTTCATGTTTCTTGTTGTTGTTCTTTGTTTGTGTGGTTTTGTTTTTACATACTTTCCTTCCAGGATGCTGTGAAATATCTCACATCTGCCAGTCTCAGCAGAGGGAAATCACTAGATCGATTACCATATACCTAGCATTCAGGTAAACCCGTAAAGGAGCACTTTTTTTTTTTTTTTTTTTTTTTGAGATTTAAGAATACGAAATTCTAAAACTACCTCTCTCAGAGGATTTCCTTTGTATCAAACTGGTAAGACCGTATCTGCAAAGAAATGCTACATCATGGATCCTGCTGTGTTTATTTAGAAGGAATGCAGTAAGAAACAAACTACACACATACTTGAGGCATGCAAACATGATATACTTAATAACAATGTGCATTCTTGATGTCTTCGAAGAGCACAGTTGATGTGTTGAAAAACAAGACTCTTCCATTCAGAGTTCCATCTGCTAAAATATCCCATCATCTCAAAAACATAACTAGAAATTCTTTTTAAATTCACACTAAGAAAACAGAATTCTCTTCTGAAATCAAGCCTCACTGCTCTGTTGACACTTTACCAAAAATCACTGTCACCATGACGAGTGGGACCAGGCTGCACCTCAAGTGCTGTGTTCAGCTTTGGGCCCCTCGCTACAAGGACACTGAGACCCTGGAGCATGTCCAGGGAAGGGCTACAAAGCTGGTCAAGGGCCTGGAGCACAAATCCTGTGAGGAGTGGCTGAGGGAACTGGGGGTGTTTGGTCTGGAGGAGGTTCAGGGGAGACCTCATTGCTCTCTACAGCTCCCTGGAAGGAAGCTGTGGGGAGCTGGGGGTCGGCCTCTTCTCACAAGGGAATGGCCTCAAGTTGTGCCAGGGGAGGTTCAGGTTAGAAATGAGGAGACATTTCTGCTCAGAAAGAGCAGTCAGGCATTGGGACGGGTTGCCCAGGGAGGTGGTGGAGTCACCATCCCTGGGGGTGTTTAAGGAAAGGTTGGACATGGTGCTCAGGGACATGATTTAGTGGGTGATGGTGGTAGGGGGACGGTTGGACCAGATGATCTTGGAGGCCTTTTCCAACTGTAGTGATTCTATGAAGGCAAGTAATGAGCAGCTGGTACATCTGCAAGAAATACAAGGCATTTTCCATATAAATACTTTTATAATGGGAAGTGTAAATATAGGTGTTACAAACTGTTCCTCGTTACATTTGCCTTTAAGATTTTTCATGTGGCATCAGTGTTCAACGAAGATTTATTTATACAGAAAATAGCTTAACTAAAGCTATGCTATCACTCCTGGCCAACAAAGCCAGTAAAAATGTATATATATACATGCTCCCACTCTCTGTAAACCTGGCTGACGTTGATTTAGACTGCAAAATCCCATCTTTAGGCAAATAGGAGCAAACTGTGTACATCGAGCCCAAACACCTTTGATAATCCTACTAACCATCAGAATGTAGATTTGCTTTGGTGCATCATAAGTACACCATTTTTTCTTATAGAAAATATTATGTGACAAAATTCAAGGTGTACAATGTCTGCAAACAACAAAAAAACAGTACTTGCGTTCACTTTGAACAGTTAATGACCTTTGAATCTTTTGTAACCCAGTGAGAAAAAACCTGCACAATGTTTGTTGAACTACGGCATTTTGCTGAATGACATTTAGAGAAGCTGGGCTGGGAAAGGGCAAAGATTGCTTCCCTTACTGTCCTATCCTATACCCCACAGCCAGTCACAGCAGTGAGCACAGAGGAAATTTTTTCTCCTTTCCCACTCCTCCAGACCCAGCAGGTCAAAGCAAGAGAGAGTACTGTACGTTGCAGCTACCACAACACAGCATCAGCACCTAGTCACAAATACCACGTAGATTTGGGATTGTGACACTACTGAGGTATTTTGATAGCACCCATTAATAGGATCCACAAGCAGATGTGGCACACAAAAATAGTTCATTTAAGGTATGACAAATGACAAAGCCCAATTCTTATTTTTTTAAACAATTAATCAAGTATTGTACTGTTAATGAGTTTAGACATTCTGAGAAATGTACTAAGACCGTACATGCTCCTCAATCACTATCTTTACTTACTTTCACATTAAAAACCCTTAACTACAACTGCTCATTTCTGTACTTACTTGAATCAAGTAACCATATCACCTGTTACTGTGGTTCACATGGTATGAAAATATTAACTAGGAATATCACTTTTTCCTTCAAACCAAGCTTGAGTTACAGCCATGAACTTTGAAATATCAATTGCTTGAGTCGCGCCAAAATAAATCTGTTGTTAGACATGTAGTTTAGTTCTTCCTGATTTATCTAATAATCAACTAATTCAAGGTAGGTCATAGACTCCTAGCCCAATCTTGTTTAAAATCTCAACTTTTCTCTTTTAGGTATTTTCCACGAAAATAACCTCTTCTTTGTAGGTATTTCTAGAATGTACTGTAACTGTGCATGAGAAATTGCTCTATGAAAAATGGTACCAAACCCCATGGAACCAGGTCCTACAGAATTTCCAGTTTCCAGATGAAACCAATTCCCATTCCAGGAAGAATTTTATTTATTTTTTTCAATTTAGAATTCATGCTTTGTACTGAGCATATATAGTGAGAACTTTTTTTTTTTCCACTTGGGACTAATACAAGAATCAAATTGATACATTCAGAAATGAAAGGTGGATGAGCACTAATTACCTGCACAATTCTTTTATTTTGGCAACATATTTATGCAACATTTTCCTTACAGTTTTGTGGTTTTGTGGTTTGTTTTTTTTTGTTGTTTTTTTTTTTATTTAAAAAAAAGTCATTCTCATGTTACAAAAATGGTTTTCCAAAGTTATTGCAGAAATAAGAAACAAGGTCTGAACACAGAAAGTCACAAGAAAGATCCTCAAAAAAGCATCCAAGAATGGCAGAATCTGAAGAGCTATTGTGTCACACCTTTATCAGCTACATATGACTTTATTACAGAACATATTCACTGGGGCAAATGCACATCGTAGAATCATGCTTGGGTCTTTTAGCTTACGCTGGAACAATTCACATAAACTGAGAATGTTTTCAAGTAGTCTGTTGGATGGTGCTTTCTTCACCTCTAATGTGACAAAAAGTACAAGCAGGCACACAAGGGAAGGGGGTGGAATGATTCTATTAGCATTATCTTGTCTCTGTATTTTGGCAACTGATCAAAGCTGCTAATGAGTTTTGACATCTATGAGATGTTGACTCTCAAAGAGGCAAAAACGTTACCAATTACCAACTCTCTTGCCAATACCTCTCCCTTTATGCATCTCGGTGGGAGCCACAGCCTCCCATAGCTGTACATCCTCACACCTCAGAGCTTTTACCTTCTTACCTGTAACTGGATAACATTCAAAACTTGCCAACACATCATTTTATCATTTCTCATACTGTGAAATCTAGTTGTATTTTAAACCTTTGTGAAATATAATCTACAGTTAACAGATTAAGTTTGCCCATAACCACATGATCTCCTAAAACAACCTGCTCTATGTTTTCTGATAAATAAATAAAGAGCCCATCATTAGCAAAAACAGATTGTTTAACCTGAAATAGATCTGTGCAATCAATGAATACCTCTGATGCTATCACATTTGCCAGATACTGAAATTCATCCTCCACTTTTCCTTGATGAGATATCAAGAACTGAGAAGCTTCCTTCATGACATAATTCATGCTTTGCATGAATTGAATGCTAATGAAATTACTCTAAGAAAAATATGGTAACAGAGGTAATTAGAACAAGAAAGCTACATGACCTCTAAGATAAAGAGTACAAGAAACAAATGTAAATAAATACTTAAGTTTGAATCTTATTTAAGGAGACTGCTGCTAATGCTAAGAAAAAAAATAACATTAAAAGAGTATTCAGAAGTTGAAAATTGAAATAGAAGAGATCTAGGAAAGATCACAGTACATTGGAGGAAGAGTCACATCTCAAAAATTATTAATATTGAAGGAAGGATTCTATTTTATAGAGGAGAATATTGGGGGGGGGGTACTATCTGCACTGGGTCTGGATGGGATGTTAACTTTCCCTGCAGCAGCCCATACAGTGCTGTGCTCTGCACTTGTAGCTGGAACAGCAGTGGTATCGCCCCAGTGTTGTGTCTGCTGCTGAGCAGTGCTGGCACAGCATCAGGACTCTCTCTAACCCTCCTAGGGGGTGGCCAAAAAAGTGAGAAGAGAAACATCACCAGGGCAGCTGACCTAACCCAACCGAAGGGATATTCCATACCACATCATATCACACCCGGCAATAGAAGGTGGAAACAGGAAGAAGAGGGGAGGGGTGGGCTCTCGTGAAAACATCGGTCCTCCTCCCGAACACCGGCTACGTGCATTGAGGCCCTGCTTCAAGGACGTGGTCAAGCATCACTCATTTGTGGGAAGTAGAGAGTAATTTCTTTCCTCTGCACTTCCACATAGCCTTTATTTGTTTTGTTTTTTCCCCTTCCCCCTCCCTTTTCCCTTTTTTTCCCTTAAGTTAAATTGTTTCATTAATAATAATCTTTCCTTAATAATTTTTTTTCCTTTAATTAAAATATCCTTATTTCAACCTGTGAGTTGTTCTTTCCTTTACTTCTTCCCCTCCTCATCTAAGGAGGGGGAGTGAGAGAGCAGTTGTGGTGTTTAGCTGCCTAGCAGGGTAAACCTGCCACGCTATCTGAAAACCCAAATAATCCGACTTTTTGCATAAATGTTGGCCACACAACACACACACAAAAACACCATATAAGAAGATAACATATAATCAAATTGCATGGTTCATGGATTAATAATACAAGTATACTTTAATCTTCACAGCAAAATCAACCCTCATTAGTAACATTTGAGCATCATCACTATCATATTATGTTCCGGTGCCCTAAGTGAAGTGAGAGTTTAACCAATCACCCCCTGGCAAGTGATCACATCATTCCCACAACAAAACGACAGCTATTTGTTTCAGAAAGGTCAGACTTCATTACCTCCCTCCTTCAGGGGAGAATGCTCCAGGCTTGTGAAGGGGACAGCGCTGCCAAGGGAAGCCTGCACAGCTGCTGTCTCTAGTATGTGTGGCCTGCACAGGAGTACTCCAGGCTTCTGCCCTCTCAATACAAAACCCTTCAGCACTGCTACAAACCTCACATGCATTACTTAAAAACACCGCTGAAGACAATTGAATGTAACCCTGCAGATGTTACGCTGTGGCCTGGACACAGGCCAGATGGATGGTGACTTGAATTCTATGATTCTGTGATTCATGCAGTTGGCTAAAACACATGATTGACACAGTGGATGTCTGACCGGTTGCTCAGAAAGCTTTCATAAAATGATTTTGAATTAAGGTCTCTATCTGGGACATCAGCACGCTCAGATCAGCAGCACAGACCTGGTGATGCTCATTCTCATTCTTTTTCAGCGTCTCTAACAGGCCCCAGTGGACTGGAGGCAGAGGGCTGTAAGAACTCAGCAAGTGAAGCTGACTTAATGGGTTCTGTTTGATTTCCGCAATCCTCAAGGCCCTCAAGATAGCAGGTGCAAACTTCGAATAATGAGCTGTAGATGAAATAATAATTGGGCAAGTTCTGTCTTGCAATCGATCTGCAACTACTTTAGCAACAGCTGTGTGTGTATCCAAAATATATCCCGTGGTGCTGTACACGTAGTGAATGGCAGCGAGGCAGTCGTCCTCAGAGCACCAGCCAGCCACCAAGTCCTGCTGAAGCTTTTCGAGTAGATCTTTCCGTAGCTGAAAGTGGCCCTGATTTTCCAGCTGGCTGTACAGTTGTGTCACCAGTTGTCCGTCCCCATCGGCAATCAAGTGCAAGTACCGCTCGAGATTGGAGGACTTCAGAATATCTACCGCTGGTGAGGAAGTGGGAACTAACTTTCTTCCCCTCAAATCATAGCTACCCGTCTGTATGAAGTCAGTCAAAACGTTGTTTTGGTTGGAAGCACAAATGCATTTTCTAATAGGGATTCCCATAATTTTAGCATACAAAGCAGCTAATATGTTGCCAAAGTTCCCTGTAGGAATGCAAACATCTACAGGACTTCCAAAGGCGATAATACCTTGCTGAACAAGATCAAGGTATGCAGAGGCATGATAAACTATCTGAGGAAGCAGGCGTGCCCAGTTTATGGAGTTTGCTGCTGCTAAAGCTGTTCCATATTCTACTGTAAGAAAGCCAGTGTAATCAGAATTGGTGAAGATTTGTTTTATAGCCGTCTGGCAAAAATCAAAATCAGATTTGACACCTATGGACCAGGCGTTTTCCTTCTGACAGCCAATCATCTGTGATTTTTGAATGGGGCTTACTCCATCCTCAGGAAAAAAACTCATGACAGCAATTCGCTGTTTGTCAATGTCATGGAGACGACTGAAGCCATCCAGGACAGCACTCCCTGTGTCCCCAGAAGTAGCTACCAGAACCAAGTAATTGCAGCTCCTGGGAATGCAGTATGCAAACATATGCGGCATCATCTGTAAGGCAAAATCTTTAAATGAAGCTGTTGGTCCATGAAATAACTCAAGGAGAAACTGATTGCCTGTCAAATGCCTAACTGGGGCAATTTTAGAACAAGAGAAGTTTTCTCCATAAGCAATGCCAATAATTTCTTGCAGTTTCGATGCAGGGATATCAGCAGGGTGTATGCATCTCTCGAGTACCACCTGGGCTCTTTCAGCATACGTTGCTTCTATCAGGCTTTGCCACTCTTCGGCAGTGAATTTTGGAAGTCCTCTCTCAGGAACAAAGAGTCCTCCATCGGGGGCTAAGCCCTCAATAACAACATCACTGAAATACTTGCAAGCGTCTTTTTGTGTGCTCCTTCCAGACCTACTAGACCTAGTTGAAATGTAAGTTTCCAGTTCTGAGTTTTGGTATCTCTTCACGGCATCAAGTACCTTTTCTGCCACGACCTCTGCTGCCACATCCCCTCCACAAAGCACACGGACGTCGTACCACCTTTTGTAGAACTGCTTCCTGAACTGAAGGATGTCCTTGAGAGAAGTGTCAGGACCCTGGCCCACAATGCGATCCACCTTCATTGACTTCAGCCTGCTCATAATGACCACCGTGGGCACGTCCAGATACACAACGATTCCATTTTGCTTCACATGCTGCATGCTGGCAGCATGCATCGGATTGGACCCAGTAAGGGAAATGACACTTCCAGATGCTGAAAACTTCAACAGGGCTTTTCCTTCCTCCTCTAAAAACTGCTCGTTACCAACATCCTGCAGCTTTTCCGACACGCTCATATTCCAGGTTGTTTCAAGGACATCATCATCTATATCTATGACAGGGCAATCCAGTTTCTGACCTACTATTCTCCCAACTGTTGTTTTCCCAGCACCCGGAGGCCCCATCAGGATAATATTTTTGTTTCCAACAAGAGAATGGCTTGAGAACCACGACTTCCATATCTGTGCAAACGCTACAGGTCTTGAAAACATCAGTTTTAAACACATGCCAGAAAGACTGCTTTGGGCTATCAGTCTCAAAGGCTGATACTTAACATGAAACATCTTCTGCTTTTTTTTTTTTTCAAGCCAACTTGACAATCCACTTAATTGCTTCAAAAAGAAAAAAAAATATATCAATTAGTCCTTCAGCAAACATCTACAAAAAACCTCAAAGGATATAAAATTCAGAACAAGAATGAAAACACAAATCCAGTTAGGATTTTTTCAGTGCCAGGGCTGTACATAAGACCATTCTTTCCCCCCTCCTGTGTAGCTCCAGCTCACCTCCACTGACAAATCCACCTTCAAGCAGTCCATATTGTCAGGTTAAATAAAGGTATCCAAACCTAACACTACAATACTCTCTGCAAATAATATTGTTCATAGGAATTCAAAATCTATTAGCTTTTCTGCTAGTAAACTTATTTAGAAGTACACATTCACAAATAACAAAGGTTAATTACTCTTCTGTAATCAGAAAATTGTAAATATTGCCTTTTCCTACCTCCAAGATGTCTTTTATTTCCTTTCTAAAAAAGGAATTAAAAAATTGCAATACCCTCTTAAATGCAATGAAAACTCACACACTTGGGCAACAGCAAGGCTGGAAGAGTTCCATCCAGTTCTCTTCTGACGGGATGACAGACCAAGTGAATTGTCAAGAAATCCTATAATGGAATTTTATCGGGTGTATTTGGTGTAAAGTGGGAGACAGAAACAGACATCATCATGAAGACACTCTACTACCAAAAAAAAAAAAATCACTAGGAAAGCAGCATCCTCAACACAGATTAAGCAAGACACTCTCAATACATTGCTTTGTTTGCTTACAGAAATCAATGCCAGTATCAACTGGAGTTGCAGAACATGATAAGTGTGTAATATTTAGAGCCAAAGGGTGAAGGACTCAAGATCTCAATAGAAGAGGAGGGCTCAGGGAAAAAATCCACACGCATTTGCACAGAAAATTGCTCCCGAGTCATTTTTCAAGTGTAGGTAGGCAAACAACTTTGTTATTATTATGTCTTCACTGTTCATGAACAAAATGTTTAAAGAAAAACAACATGGAACATTCTTTTAGGAAATTTATATCATTTTAGATGTAAAATTTCACCTCTTGGGTTATTCATCAATTCTTTTAAAATGTAACATATGTAAAAGCAACGTTTTTATTTAAGACTGCATTAGTGGATAGCCGTTACAATATGCAGGACAGAAATACTCCACTAAGCTTCAAGTTGCACTTTTTATTCCCTCCTGACACCGTAACACAGAATCAAAACTGTAGTCAGCAATTTCTAGTAACTATATTTTAAAGACTCAATATAACTGCAAGCACCCCAGCTACTTGCTTCACAATGGTTGGTGGGTTTTGTTTGTTTGTTTGTTGTTTACATACCAGCTACTTCATCCAGAAAAATAATTTTTAATGATGAAGTGTTTTTCTGTGTTAATCAGGACAGACTAAATAGAACAAATGAAGGAATTCACTATAAACTGCCAAATCTTTCAGCCATTCAGAGCAATTTCTCTAGACAGTCTCCAGTCCAACAGTGCTTTAGCACTGCAGAGAGCAGAAGCAGGCCTACAGTTGCAGAAGGCAGGTGAGCACCAAAATGGGAAACCTACCATCTTCCAAAGACCTACTCAGGGTTAAACTACATTTACAGTTACCAGAGTCCTTGAACCCTGCTGTTCCCTATCACAATGGGCAATATCAAATGACTCCAGAGACACAGGTCACTCCAACTCCAAAAACGATAGAAGTTCAGGTTTTGTAAGAGAAAACCACAAAAAGTCTTTGCTTCCAGATGTTCCCTGCTCTACGTTCCTAGATCTGCCTTTTAGTCTTACCAATCTATTAGCTTATGTTACAAAGTCAAAGCACTTCTAATCAGCTAAATCTTTCCACTCACTCACTTCTGCATGGAGAGACGAGCTTGCAAACCAGTGCCTGAAACATCACTGTATTCTGTGTTTGCACCCTGCGCTGTGACACAGTAAGCATGCTGTAATTACAAGGTGTAAATCAGAGTAAAGATGGGCACAGAATGTATAGATGCAGAGGTTTTTGTAATAGTTATTTAAAAGAACAAGAAAAAAATCTGTGAAGAGTAGTTGTGACAATCAGCATCATTATAAAGCCATACTGTAATCATAAGGCACTGTAGTGAGTACAAACATACAGAGCTACAGGGCCTGAAAGAGGTATTTAAACTTCCAGATGTAAATACGTTCAGGATTCAAAAAAGACTTAGAGGCAGTATTTTAGTGATTTTATTTCTTTAACCTAGAAATCACTTCAAACCTTATTTATGAACTACGGGCATATAAATCATGCCAAACATAGCAACCTGTCTACGTGTCTAGATGCACTACAGATTCCCTTTCAGGTACAGTACACGCTATACAGCTGCAGGATGTAATATCTGGAGTGCTTTATCAATCTACAACATAGGAACTTAAAACACCGAATGTGAGAGCTGTAGACCAAACAGATTTCTCTGGTTACATACTTGCCATGTTTACATAAACTTACAAGCAGCCTAAAGGATTGTTTGAAATCAACTCAGTTAATTTGGTGCAGAAATTTGCAGGGAATTTTATTCAGCTGCTCAGAAAGTTTAACCTACTACGGTTTAATCCAATTTTGCACCCACATGAAGTATACATGCGAACATGCTCGCAACCGCTCTTATTCCAGTGGCAAAGCTATACTGTAAAAACATCTTGAATCAGACTTCACGTCTAGGAGAGTTTACCAGCTTACAGCACCAAACCAACCACCTTTAGTTACAGCTACTTCTACCAACAGGTTTTTGTGTTTTATTTATTTATTTATTTATTTTTATTGAAGCAGTGCTTTTACCCATACCTCCAATGAAGTTTTGACAGTACACCTCAAACCTCCACTCGGACTGCTGAGGGCATCTATGTATCACTAGCAGATAACCAAAATTTTAACAGCCACAACTGGTGACAAGAATTCAAGTGAAAGTTGTTATAGTTATTGGTATGGACACAAAGTTTGCAGAGACATGAGGTATGGTTAAACTGCAGAGCCTAAGGAAAGGAGAGGTGGTTGGCAGCTGTTTAAGACCTCAAGGCAGGTCAAGATAAGTAATAATCATGCTTCAAAAATGTTAACACAGAAAAAATACCCTTTTACTTTCCTCGGAGTTTTTATGTAGAGTAAAACACTCCTAAAGTAAACAACCTCAACCCTCCCACAGACCAAAATGCTAAAAATAAGTCACCTGCGTGCACACACTCCACCTCGTTTCCCCAAGGAAAGCCACCCACGGGTGAAGAAGCACACGGGTCACCACACACAAAACCCTCAGAGCCCCTGGAGGTGGCAGGGTGGCTCACACCCCCCCGATCACGGCAATAAAGGCTCACTGAGGCGGCACAAAGCGCGTGCTGGGGACAGACCTTAACCCCCACGGGAGCTCCCGCTCCGTGGGGCACTCCCACCCACGGGAGGCTTCCAAAACATTATCTCAGGGCACTGCGGCAGCTTTAGGAGTCCTGTCCGCCGGCACGGAGGGGCCACGCCCGCTTCTGGGCGCTGCGAGGTCTGGAAAAGAGAAAAAAAAGACAAGGCAGCCCCGGCGGGCCGCGACGAGGACCTCCCGCCACAGCCGCCACCCCCCCTCCCTCACGAACCCCCCCCCCCCGCCCGCCCGCCACCAGGCCCCTCACGTACCGCCCTCCCCCCACCCCTCCACGCTCACACCGCGCATGCGCAGCCACCCCGCTCTCCCCTCAGCACCCCGCCTGCCCGCCCTCAGTCCGGGCGTACGCGCGCCGCTCTTAGCTTCACCTCCGCCAAGTGCGCATGCGCAACCCGCCGAGGGGAGGGCGGGGGGAGCGATGGCGTAGCCCCGCCCCCTCGGTGCGCTGTCGCCTAGCAACGAGTTTCCCGGGCAACCGCGGCCGCGACGCCGGGCCACAAGATGGCGGCCCCGGAGAGCATCTATAACCTCCTGCCCCGCCTGCAGGAGCCGCCCGCCAGGCCGCCCAGGTACGTGGGGCCGAGAGCTTCGGCTCGGGCCAGGCGCTGTATCGCTGTATTTTGCGGGTAATTAAAAAATAATAACAATACATCGAGGTTTTTGCAGGGAATTTTAAAAATTTGAGGTTTTTTGAAGGTAACTTTAAAAAAAAAATGTTTTTTTTGCGGCGTTATCGTGCCTCTTGGTGAGTCACCGGCTGGCAGCTGGGGGTTTGCAGCCCGCTGATGATTCAGTTTGGTGCCACCTCGCCTGATGACAAGGAAGCTGTGAAGCCATCTGTCCCACGCACAGGAATTGCGTGACATCTTTGTTGTTTCAGCTTTTAATGATTTTTCAGTGAGCAGCTGAAAAGCTCTTTTTTTTTTTTTTCATTTTTTTTCTGTCACACCTGCATTCTCATGCGTCAGGTGCATCTTCTGACATCATTTCTTTCGCTTCCTTCTCACCCCTTACCTTAAAAGCATTAAAATGCCTTCTGCCCGCCTAGTATTAATCCTCCGAGGGTTTTTGTAAAGCTCATATTTGATGTACATGTTGTATTTTCAGGTTCATGCTATTTGTATGGAAGAACACCGTTAGACGTAGCACTTTCAGTGAAACGTTAACCCAGGCTATAACTCAGTAGCTGTAAAATGAATAGCAATATCTGTGGCATTTGTTAGATCAAAGGCACAACATCTGAATGCTTTTCAGGTAAAAGTGTTCAGACTTGCCAGATTTCTAGTTCTGAACTTTTATACACCATATAAAAAATAGATGGTACGCCCTTTTTGATTTCCCCTGTGAATGAAGGATGCCTCTGGTGGGCAGAGTGCAGTGAAACAACATTATGGAAGGCAAGCAGCACACCAGGTCCTCTCCTGTCTTAATTCCACTCAAGGATTTGGATACTGTATGACTGTAGTCCATTAGGTTCAATATGGGCAAAGGATTATTTGGGTTGTACATAGTAAGACCAAATCCCCTTCCCATCTCACTGATTTCCATTTTGTCACCTCACTTCCTGCTTTATTTTGCAATGTGCCATGTACCCAGCTGGTAACAACAGTGTCAGAACTGGTTAATAGCATGACTTGAACATATTTTTTTCATGCATACAAAATCTGGGGTCTTTTTAAAAATGAGATCATATCTATTTCATTCTCACCTGGCTGGGTACTATTCATGAAATCAGGGCAAGCATCTTCATTTTCTCCAACTTTGATATCCCAAGGGGAGGCTTAAAGAACTAACTGTCTTTTCATAAATATATTGTCTTTTCTCCCCTTACCAAATACTGAATGGATTAAGATTCTGAAGTCCCCCATAACCATGTTTTCTTGCTTGCAGCCCTCTCTAACCATCTACTGTTGCTGTATGACACCATTTAGTTACTGTTTTGGCCATATGTCAGTCATCAAAACATGTAACAGTCACAACTCTTTGTCCAAAGAGGATGTCTATAGCTGTATTCAAACGGCATTGTAAAAAGACAGCTTTAAACTTTATGCCAGTATGGAATAAGCTCAATACCTTCTTGTTATCTTTCCCTTTTCAAGACAGTGTGCATGCTAATAGGTCAAACTTCTCAAAATAAGTAAATCATCATAAAGTCCCTACCTTTATCTAACATGTGGATACATATCCAAACGGTGAGGAAGACAGTAGTTTCTGAATGTGGTAGGTTCATGCCTAAAAATATGGCTGTTTGCCAAGAATTTCTCACACACACACACAAAAATCCTTCCATATAACTATAGAGTATTTCTTGAACTATATATAATCTTATGTATGTAGTTAAAATGACATGTTTCCTAAAGATGACTAGATTTTAGAAGGTACTGAGGTAGCCTTAACTTCATGAGTTCTGCTTCTTCAGGAAAGTGTCCATGCAAGCAATGTTTCAGATGGTGGCAAATCACTGCTGATCAGCTAATGATCAGTATTTGGCTTCTTTTGCAGCATGTTTACAAACTTTTGATTAAAGTGGTAAATTCAGTTCCATATGCAACATGACACCAAAACAGTAGTGTGTGCATACGTTTTTTCATGTCTGAGCTGCTGTGATTTTCATGTTAGCCTTCTAAGTCAATGCCAAAACCATGACAGATGACAATAGTTCAGGATCGTAGTTCAGGTCTGTGCCATTTAAGAACTACAGAGTTTGCTGTGTATCAAGTTTCTTTTAATAACATAAAACAAATGGTTCAACAGGAGCACTGAGACAGTGATGCAGTGGCTGGACGTTAATAAGATAAGGTGATGTTCAAGGACATTCTGTCCAACTCTCAACAATGTTTGAAGTATTTCCTGAAGCATGAGGTTTTATGTACCTCTAAAATCCGTTTCATTCCACAGAGTGAAACATTGAATGTTCTCATTATCAATACAGATCTCGTATCTTTTCAAGCCAACTGAGCTTTTTCCTCTGTTATGTTTAATTACTGTTACGCAAGGTCCTACTGCAACTGCAGGTTCTGAAACATGAGATACGTTGGTGTTTGCATCTCCCTCAGACTACAGATTTTCAAATGTACAAAATCCAACAAAGTAGGCTCATGATTAATATTTTCATGTAGATGCACAACAGCTACATATTTAGGATGCATTTTTGAACAAAACAAAAAGCCATGTAAATTAATATTTTTTTCAAAATGTAGTTTAAAATCAAAGACCAAAGTGTGTAACATATAACCTAATAAAAATAAAGAATTCATGTTTTTGTCAGACTTAGTAAGCAACATTCAAAGCAGTGCTGAGCTTCAGAATGTCTGTGTTCAGTATTTATATGATACAGGAACTGTTTGCCAAATTGTGATAATACTGGCCTTGGAGACACAAGAGGAGGAGGAAGAAGCAAGCTAGCTTCAGAATCAGAAGTACAACTTATCAGTGTGGTGCTGAGCATACTTTTAAGATAGAGGTTATATGAATGATGATGGCCTTTGTTTGGGAGAGTACAAAACAAAATAGCTCAGTCTTCTGGCATGAACTAATGCAAAAATGTATAATCTTTGAAGAGGTATTTTTAATAATTTTCTGACCTTCAACTTCTTTATGCCTATTGTTTAACATCAAAGGTATATATCAACATTTAGACCGTCTGTGAAACAAGAAATAGAGAAAAGTAAAGCTCAGTGGAAAACTATGGGGCCAGCAAAAGTTGCGGTGCCGTCTCCAAAAAACTTTCTGAAGAAACATTCAAAGGAACCCAAGCTACCAGCGAGTAAGTGCATACCTTAAATATGTGAAAGGCAATGCATTTTTTATTATATTGGAATTCTTAATATTAATATTGAAAATAATAGTTATAGAGGATCTGTTTTGTTTAATTTATTTAATTTTAAATGATTTTTGTAAGCTGGGTTGGTTTCCATTGTTCCATTTATAGCCTCTATGATGCTGAAATTAATTTGCTATTTCACAAAAATGTTTCTCTCTTATTTATTGCGTAAAACACTAAAAGAAGCAAAAAGGAGATTACATATGTGATTAGTAAATACAGTGAGCATTTTCTGTCATGGTACAAAGCTGGATGAAATATAAAGAAAAATTATCTCTCTTTTGCCTGCAGCTATTTAAATATTGAAGATTTGTTGATGGTATATTCTATCCTGCTGATGTTTCAATTTACAATTATGTAATTTAGATTCATATGTCATTCTTTCCTGCAACTGATCATTAATAATAAAGTACATAATATTAACAGGTATATTAAAAGAGAACTAATTGTTTCTAGAGCTTGAAGACATGAAGTAGGTATGTGTGTCTGTCTTGATGTTATCACCAACATAGAGCTTTTACTCTTCAGTATTCGCTGTTGGTTCTTAATCTTGTACCATTAAATTGGCAGTGTTCAGAGCACAGAACTTTTTTTTTTTTCAGAGCTGCTTGTTAGAGAAATAAAAAAATGGAATATTTTATTGCAAAGAACCAGTTTTCCACCATCCTATTTTCAGGCACAAACCATAATTCTGGGTATGAGGAGTTGGCAGTTCTTATGTTCAGCATCATGGCCAACTCTGCAAGGGTGGAATGACCTCCTTAGTACTGCTAGAGTTGTAAGTACATTGCTGTCAGAACTTGTAACTGAATCAGGAAGTTTTAGCTTGAAATTGTTTTTAGGTTGGAAAAAAAAAAAAAAGGAAGAAGAAAAAAAAAAAAACAGAAGAACTTGAAGTACTCTATTAAAAAATGCTGTCTAAGAGAATGTGTGAGTCAGCACCCAAATTTGCATGGTACTTACAAATGACTTTAGCACTGAAAATACAGACTATTGCAGGAGGCCTTGGAGGCTTAATGCCTCAGACAATACAGATTATCAGAACCTTAAGGCAAGCTTTGTTCCCTTAGGTCCTGTAGGCATCCTGAGTGGTTTCTACTTAGGTCTTCACTTTTTCAGGAAAGTTGAACAGCATTCACTCTACGGAATGTAATACCTAATGGCATCTGAGCATTAATGTTTCCAAGCTCAAGAAGTTAAATTACTACACTAGTGTTTTAGATGAGCACAGGAAATCTAACCAGTTCACCTGTAACTTGCAGCAGTCCATAAGGTTCCTTTCAAGTATTTCTATTGTAAAATTATGTTTACTACGAACTGGCTATGTTTTGAAATTGAGCATTCTGACCCATTTTTCTCAGAAAAGTAGCTCACAATATTTCTGTTTCAACTTGCTGACTCAGAACTTCATAATAGCAATATGCGCTTGGGTGTTTGCATTTGGAGTCAATGTACCAGAACCTCAAAATGACTATGACACATCACAGCTTCCATCCAAACTAGTAATTTCATAACTACGATTAGATCCTAAGAGATCTTGAGAAGGAACTGCATCATTAACTCAGAAAGTTCTTATACCTTTGTTGGATGGAGTCTCATACTTTAGTCAGAAAAGTTACATTGCTTAATGAGCTCTTTCAAAGCATGAGACTTTTGAACCTATCCAGTTATCTATGTGGGATTATGGTGTTTTGTTTATGATAGCTGTGCCACCTTGAAGACTGAGTTTGATCCATCTAGTTAAAAAGTAGGTTGCAAGGACAAAGCTGAAAGATTGATTTTTTTTTCCCTAAAGTCTGGGAGAATGTCATTCCTTTAGAGTTTGATTATTCAGCAATTCCCTACAAAAACTATGTTTCCTAATCTTCAGCTGAATCTTGTTTTATTACTGGGCCCTGACATTCATTTTAAGCAAACTCTTTTTCTGGCTCTAGAAGAAGCAGGGGCTCCCAAAGCAAGTGTTCTGCAGGTAAGGGTGAGCAGGTGTTCACTGAGATGCTGTTTTCCAAAATAACATCATTGAGAAACAGATTTAAGTCTGTGTCCTGCAGTACTAAGTTATGGCAAGCTATCATGTTGTAAAAACCCCAGAAAAGTGCTGGTTCTTAGGGCCAGTATCAGGAAGCCAGCTGTTGCAGGAACGAGCTGTCACATGTGATATTACAGACTTGCTTTCTGTCAAAGAAGAACATGAACTCAGACAACCTGAGTCAAACTATTGTAGATTCTTCTGAGTTCCCTCTGATAACGACCGTAAGTTAGGGCTATATCTGTTGGGAAATAAGGTGGGGAATGAATTGTCTTTTATCATTCACCTGAAGTGAGACAACTCAGGAGGCTGCTAACCTTCTGTTGGTCCGTTGGAGAAAAGATTACACTGAAAAGGCAAGGGTTCTTGTGTTCTCTGGAGAAAGCATTGCAAGAAGTTGTTTATGAGTGTTATGGAAGAGTGAGAACAGGGTTACTCCCTAAGGGAAGGTGAGCCAGGAATTAAGAGTGACCACAGCCCCGGCTGGGCAGTGATCTCACCTACAGCAGCAGACCCAGCACAGCAGAGGCGTGCAAGCAGAGCAGGGTGGTGATGAAAATGGGTCTTATCAATGGCCTAAGCAAGGTGGGGTAGCAGGCCAGGTCCACCCTCTGATACCACACAGCTCTTCAGGAGCAGGGCTAAGGGCAGGCACACCTGCGAGGTAGCTAAGCCACAGACTGACAGCCCAGGGCTGAGCTGAAATGGATCTCCTGGGCCTATGGCTGTGGGGTGGATGCACCAGGTGGGACTGGTTAGGGTCTCCTAGTGCTCTCAGGGTCTTGACAATGAGCATCTCTGGTAGAAGTAGTTCTACTTACATTTTAAATAAGTCTCATACTACTGCAGTTAAGAGGTAATGAGTGGCATAGTCTATGAAAACTCATCTACAAAACAGCACAGTATTTCCTAAGCTATGTAACTTCTCTTATTCCCGACAAGCATACTAGTTTCCATTATAGTACATTCCCCATCAATCCTCTCAGTGTAGATACAGTTGCTTTCTGTTTTTATGTAATTTTGCACATAATTTTTCTCTCTTCAAAAATGTAATAACATTATACTGCAAAGCTCTCTAAGGTTATCACTGAGAATGTTTACATGCCTAATTCACAGGAAAAAAAGAACAGGATAGTAAGAAATTGCCTGCATTATCAGTCCCACGGAGGACAGATCACCCAGTTATGGGAATTCAGAGTAAAAAGAATTTTATAAATACAAATGCAGTTGCTGCTATCACAGGATTGCCTAAAAAGCCTCAACCTATTTATGTTGATAGAAGACAAGGAGACAAATATCTGCTTGAAACTTCAGGACTTGTTCCAAAATATATTAAGAAAAAGGTAAGTTTTATGAAATTATAGTGAAAATACGAGTAGCAATGCCTATTCTTAGATTCTTGCATTCTCCTATGAAATGTTTATGGTTTTCTATTAGATGTTTAAATACCACTGCTGTTTGTGGTAGACCTTTGAAATTCACCAGGGAGAAATCACTGGCACTAGAGTTGTGACTTGCCTATGCTCTCAGCAAAAATTTTGCAGAACGATGCTGCTAAAGCAATAACAGATGTGTTGCACTGGGAACCCGGGGAGTAACTAATAGGGGCACAAAGAGTTGGACTCGATTTCTTCAACTTCTACTCACTCAGCAGTCTTTCAGAGATGCTGGCAAAGAGATAGGACCCACTGGACAAAGCGGGGTGAGGATATTGTTGACAACATCTTTGCTAACCTCGTTAGAAGAGCTTTTAACTGGAGGTGGTATTAAAAGCTTACAGTTCAATCAAGGAACAGGGGTCAGGGTGATAAGTACGTAGGGCAGGGTAGTAGGAGTGAGAAGGTGGGAAGGACAGATCAAACTCTTTGGAAGAGGGCTCACCTCACGTGTCAGTTGTACGCAATCTGAGAAAGCAACAGAAGAAGCTAGAGCTCTGTCTGCAGGTTCAGAGTTAACATCATCAGAATAATGGAGACGTGGTGGGAAGCTCTTCTGCCTGGAGTCTTGTGGATGGATGCATGCATGCTAACTCTTTATGAATAAGAAGAGAAGTGGTTGCCTGTTGGCTGCAGGAGTGGTTCAAATTTATGGATCTCTTCTATGGAATTGGCAACAGGCTGGTTGAGCTCATGGGTCAGAATCAGAGGAAAGGCCAGTAAGCATCACAGGCGTGGTTGTTCCAAACCATCTAGTCAGGTGAGGAACTGGATGGAGTGTCTTTAAACAACCTGAGGGAATCTTCAGATCACAAGCAGACGTTCTCATAGAAGACTTCACCCTCCTTGATATCTGCTGAAAGACCAACACAATGGGATGAAAGCAATGCAAAGGTTCCTGGAGCATGTCAGCAACAGCTCCTTAACACAGATGGTGAATGAGCCAACTATTGACCATGCTCTTCTAATTCTGCTACTTGCAAATCAGGAAGAACTGGACAGTGGTGTGATAATCAGTGGTAAACTTGGTTGTAAAGCCGTTAAGTAGTTTAAGATCCACTCTTCCTCAGGGAGACAGGTGATAGTGTACAGACCCTGTACTTCAGGAGAGCAGACATCAGCTTCCTCAGGGAACTAGGAAGCAGGACCCCATGGGAGAAAACACTAAAAAGAAAAAAAGAGTTGAGAGAACTGGCATGTCTTCAAGGTCAGTTGTCTCCAAGCTCAACAGTCCATTCATGACTGAGTGTTATGCAAAAAAAGACATGACATATGACATAGCTTATAACAGCAGATGCAAAAACGTGAACAGGCAGTCCTTGTGATACCTTTGTTTGGCTAACCTAAAGTGCTACCCTACACTAAAAGATTTGTGAATCATTTAGCATTTGGTGGAAGCAAGGTAGATTCTTGTGCCTTCTGAGAGAGCTAGATAGTCTACATTCAATAAAGGATAAGTCAAAACAGAGTTGTACCCCAAGTGCATCTGGGATATTCAGAAATTATTGTTCCTCCCAGAGACACAAATCTGCCATATCCATTATGAGATAGTCTGTCATTCCTATCTTGTTAACATTGTTCAGTATCTTTTGTGGCATGCAATGTTTCAGCAAAAAACAGGATACTGGAAGACGTTTCAAAGAAAGTATCCAAGGAATGTGCATTCCAGACAGTAGGACTTGGCACCACGTAAAATGTAAACTAGCTTTCTGTCATTAACAAATTTCAAACTCCTCACTCAAGCATCAGTTTGAATAAATACATGTTTTGGTTTCTGGATTCTCTTATGAAGTTTTGAAAAAAAAATAAAGAAGGGAATTCTTTATATGTCTTTCTCAGACTATGAAGAGAATTACATTTCATATTTCTAAAAACATAGTGATTTAAAATCTTATGCTCAGTGGAACAAAATTCCATTTCAAGCTGTCTTTGTAAAAGTATAGGTCACGGATATGTCCTTGTTTTCTTCTTTAAAGCAAGTTTTCTTCTTTAAAGCTTCTTTAAAGCACATGTAAGATGCTTCTTCTTGAACTTCTAGGATTATGGTATTACACCAAAATATGTGACACAGAGAACTGAAGAAACAAAGAAAGCTCAGAAAGATTATGAGACCCAGGTCTTGGAGTGTCTCAAGAAAAAAGCCATGAAGCAGTTATCTGATGAAGAAAGGGAAAATCTTCTACAGGTACATATTTTGACTTAGTGTAATTAGTAACATGTACATAAGATTAATGAGGTAATGTAAATCAATATGAATAATAAAATTAGATCTTTAAGCAAGGCAAACGAGTTACCTACTTTTTCACTAGATGGAGCTATAGAACAATTGCAAATTGAGCTGAAAGGAGCTGATCTATCTATAGTTTTAGTCCTGTTTTACAGGTACTTAAATTCTGTTAGATTCATGTCCTCTTTAATTACTTGGAATTTCAGTGAAACTTAAAGAAATGCGGAAAATAGCCTATATGGGTCTGGAGACAGTTCTGACTCTCTGCTTGTGAATCATAGAAAATATAAATCACAATATTTTTTTTCCTGATGTATATCATCATTGCTACATTTATTGGCAGTTTCTGTCTTCATCTTGTAACCTCACTGGCTAAAATATAAGGCCATGCTTTTAAATGTGGCAAAACCAGCAAACACAATTAAACTGCAATATATATATAGAACAATGACTGGAAAATTCTATTTTGTCAAACTCTTTTGTATACTGTCTTTCAGAAAGTTTTTATTGTAGAAGTCTTTCTAAAATGAAATAATGCCATAAAAGATATAGAGAAGGGAAAAAGAAGACAAAAAGAGAAAATAAACATTTTTAAATTATATCCATTTTTTAAAATGGAATTTCTCATAACCACTTTTAGCCAAATTTCCTATGAAAATTAGGCTTACATTACTATGGTATCTGTTTGTCAGTCTGTTCCTTAATGTCTTTGTATCTTGGCAGACATCTGAAGCAAATTAGCAGGTGGATTGACATCTCTAAGATGCTAAATTCCCACAAAAAAAAATAATCAGCAGAATAACTAGAGACAAAACCCAGTGTCTAACTTACTTACAAAGGTTAGCTGGGAGAGAAGTGAGGGTATCACATTGGCCACAGTATAAGGAATATAACAGTAAGGGGGAAGATGAAGATACTGTTACGGTGAGGAAGGCATGGGACAATATGATGGTCCAGCAAGTTGGCTGTGCAGCAAAAATATGTGTGAAAGAAGGCATGTCAGTTCAGATGCTCACAGTTCTGATTTTTTTTTTTAATTAAAATTATGTTCTTTATTATTAAAATACAAGAGTGAGCAGAAATCTTTTTTCTTTTTTTTTTTTTTTTAATTAAAGAAAGGTGGGGACTATTTTTGTTAAATCAGTATTTTTGTTTAAAGTTTTCAAAAATGTGCTCAGCCATGGGCCAGATGACTCACACAGATATATCTCCAGGAGGAATTAGTGTCCTCAGGGTATGAGACTCCTACCCAGTGCTCAGCTGTAGACATATGGGAAATCCTGTCTTTTAAAAATAATTGACATTGCTATTGAACACATGTGCACTATCTGATTTGAAAGAATATGTGGCAATAGATGTCTGAGAACAAAATCAAGCCTTATGAACCTACAAAAATAAATGGAAGTAATTTGTGCCAACATTTTTGAACTACATTATGCTTACTTTGGTTGAACTTTTCATGAGAATAAAAGAGAATGTTGATAAATGCAGTACATATTTCTCACTGATCCAGCATGTATTCGAATTCCTTATATAGAGTTAGATCTTCAGTTTGTGGTCTAGCCCAGAGCAATAGTGGTCAGCACATTACATTGCTGTTGGAGGAGCTGTGAGGGAGATTTTTACACAGGGAATCTTGAACTGGTTTTGATCTCTTCACTCTACAGGGATAGAGTAAGTTGTGATGAGTGGATGTTTTAATGTGTTTTTAACCCCACTGTTTTCAACGATTTCCAAACCAGTTTTTACTAATGTAGAGAAAGTAGAATTATTCAAAAAGTTATGAATGACTTTTCTTTCAAAATATCAGAAATGCTGTATTTATTTTCATGATGATATATCTGTAAAGTATACCTTATGCCTGGTAGACTAGAAGCCTTATATAAATGCTTTACAGCCTTAGATTAAAAGACAAGTAGCATTACAAGACAGTAAATAAACAGCCTTGCACATTGCTCTTCTTTCATGTGTTGAGACAGTTTTTAAATTTATGTAGGCATTTTTATATAAAGGATGTTGGAATAACCTTTGTAGGGAACACCAAGTCAATGCCTGGTATGAATATACAAAAAAATATGAATTTCTGTGCAACAAATACACTGCTTTGAATTAGTCAAATATTAGTTCATATTAAAATGTATGTTATGCTTAGTAGGCATTTGCAGGGAAAGGACATTTTTCCTGTTAAATCCATTCATACAGTGGACCAAATCAGACAAGTTTTTAGGAACAACAGCCCTTGAGATCTAAAATGGAAGCAACAAATTCAAAGCTAGGATTAAGAATAATTCTTGTAAATTGAACTTCAGCAAGGTAATAATCAAGTCTGGGAGAAAAGATGACTAGTGGAGAAGAAGGACCTGAATTTGGAAATCACAGTGTTCCATGAAATCAGTGTATCAGTTGAATCACAGAGGAGAGTTGAAAATGGAGTTCCTGGGAGATTAACCTCAGTTCTTCATTTCTGAAGATATTTTGTGATATCGCTTAAGGAAACAAAACTGAGAGCCAAAAAAATGAAGTTGTTTTGGAAAAGTGTTCTCTCACCAATAGCCATATTATATTGCTTGCTGACTGCTGCATGAATTCCTTATAGTAGGTGTGATTATTAAGTACACGCACAGAGTTTTCATGAGGACATTTGTGCATTGAGTAACCTACACTCCTGTGGTATAGGCAATATACAGGATGTGCAGATTTTGGTCATCCTCTTTAGGAGAGAAAGTAAGAGCATGTGTTGCACTAATTGTGAGGATGTAAAGACAAGTTTAAAATTTTATTATGTTTCAGATTATTGCTTTTTGTTTGTCTGCTTGAGGCAGGGTTTTAGTCCTGGGTTTTTATATGTGGCAGGTACTTTAGTAGTTCTTTGTGTAGCCTCACTCCAGAAAGGTGGCAGTTGTTTAAATTTTTGGTGATAGGGTCAGTGACAGCTACATTTCTTAGTCCAAATGATAAAGAAGTTGCATGTGTATGTTATTGTAGATGTAGATTAGGGAAGGAATGCAATTATTTAGAATTTCTTTAAAATAGCTCATAACAGTTAAAATACTGTGAGATCAGTTAGGTGCCCATGGTCTGAAGAAGGTCTCAGTTGCTGGAATAGAAGCTGGTGGTGAGGCAAACTGAGTGAGAATGCCATTGAGTTTGGGCTGGATTTCCAAGCACTGGTATTCTTGTGATCTCTTAAGGTCAGTAGCACCATGTGCGATGCAGTGGTATCTGCAGCAGCAAGGTTGCTGTTTATGAGGGAAGTGGTTTCTGTGGTGAGGTTTGTAAAATAATTCCTGTTGCTTTTTGGAGAAAAGTAGTAATTGGAGTGACATGAGTTTTGGAGGAGCTTTTATGAACCCTAGAAGTTCCTCAGTGAGCATACTAGATTTAAATACAATAGATCATTTAAAGTTGCCTACCTGTACATTATTAACAGCATAGAAAGTCTCTTACATAGCATAAGGAAGCTTCACTCTTTATTAACTTTATACATTTTTTTTCTTGAAGATACACAGGACTGGAAACGAAGTGTAGAGTCTTCCTTGAGTTCCTGGTAGGCTGTGGAGCTGACTCTTAGTCACACTGACATACTTTTGTCGGTTTCTAATTTTTGTAGCTCCTCCTTCATTGGCTAGTTTGATGATTACTTGGTTATTCCTCTTAAAGACTAATTTTTTCTCTCCAAAGCACAGGGTTTTTTGAAGATCATTCCTTATATCAAAATGAATCAAAATTATTTCTGTTGCAGCTACCCTGACTTTTAAGCATTTAATTGATTTAGTCCAACTATTTAAGACGATTAAACACTATTCATATATTTATCTATTGTTTTAACATTGCTGTGACAATCAAAGGTAATTAAAAAAAAATGCAATTTGCATATTATTCTTATGCAATGTGCATACTATTCTTAATGAAATATATTTTTCTCATGTATTTCCTTTTCTTCTGATGGCACTAGGGGCTGAAAAAGAACTGGGAGGAAGTGCATCATGAATTTCAGTGTCTTTCGGTAGAAATAGACACCATACCCAAGAAGTTGCATAAAGCAAAGCTGGAATCACAGATGAAACAACTGGAGCATGACATAGATGTAATTGAGAAGCATAAAGTTATCTACATTGCAAATAAGTAAGGACTGTTTTTCAGATATTGCCGCTTTTCTCCTTCTATACCCCTGTCCTTCCAAGAAAAAAAAAAAAAAGCACAAAGCTGAAAAAAGAAATTGAAAGTTTCAACTATTCAGAAGAAGGTAATATTCAACTAACATAAAGATGTAGCTTCTTATAAAAATTGTTACATATAGCTAATTCTCATCTGTGTAATCCACAAGTTTTTCAAATAGGATGTTTAATATGACTTCAAATATATGAACATGATTTTAATCTATTTTTCTTTGTAATTTTTATCAACTACTAAAATGTCTATAAATATCACACAAAAAGCATAAGAAATACTGTTTTGTATGTTTGGAGCACTTCTTTCCCTCGTAGCAAAAACTAAGTGGAATAATTGGCTGCTGAAGACAGCTTGGTAAATACAACTTCAGGGTGGGATGGCTTCTGGTCTAGTTATTAAAGAGCTGTTGTGCTTTACTTAAAAGCTTGAACGATTGTATTTCTAAATGGCTTGGCTTCTACATAACATTTTGTGTATTCATTTTTTGTTACTAAAAACAAATTTTGTAGCAGAAGCCTATAATAATATAGGAACTCAAGCAATATGGATACCACATGTAGCTTGGTATTCTGATGTAAAAAATAACACCATAATACTATATTAAATCTACAACTAAAGTACAAAAATGTGTTTTGATTGCTTTTATATGTGTAAAGTTAGAATGAAAACAATATATTACTGTGTGAGTCATGACCTAGGCAGAAATGATATTGACATAGTGTACAGCAATTATTTCCATAAAAAGAAAAAATGCTTTTCTTTCTTACTGCTTAACCTTTACTTCAGAACACAGCTTTTTCTGTATTATTTCAATTATTTCCACCAGCAGCTGTTGTGACTTCATAATATCTGACAGCAGAAGAGGATGGTGTCAAGCATTTTAAATAAACTATTAAAAGCCAGATTTTCATGTGCGTTAGTTAATTTCATAAATCTGCCCGGAAAGGACCTTGAAGACTTCACAGTGATTCTAAGTTATATTTCTTGTGCATCTTAAACTTGTCTATGACATGCACTCAGAAAGCTTGGGGTGAGCAGGAATGTGTATTTTGTTGTTTCTAACTTGCAGTAAAGCAGTAATGTCTATTTTTGAAAGGTATAAAATAAGCTGAAAGAAAACTGTGGTTTCGAAAAATATGAAATTCCTTTACTGTTTACTCAAAAAAAATCATACTGTATATTTTAACAAAGCCACGCTGACTATAATCACTTAATAGCATGCCACATTATCTGCTAATGAAGTACAAGAAGATTTCTTAAGAAATGCAATATAACCAAACATGGATGTTTTTTGTGGCTTAAAATAAAAAGGCAGCTTTTGACTTGAAAACAGCATGCATTCCCACTGCCTCAGTCTCATCTTTTTTTAGACCATTTGGCTGAGTTCTGCTGAGGATCTGGATTTGGATCTTCCCTTTCATCAGTGCTAACTTTATGAAAATGCCAAGTTGGTGATTGTGTATTCCAAAAGTTAGGACAAGCAACTAGGCCACACTTATTTTGATGTGTATTCTATGAGACCCTATATCAACATTAATGATTATGGAAAAATGTATTAAAATGAAAACCTTTTAAAGTACACAGGGAAGGATAATGTTCTTTCCCTTTAGCTCTGGTAAAATAAATTTACAGAATCTGTATTTATACGGTCAAGAAATGCCAGTAATTGAAGGTGTAATGTTTGTGAGTCAACTAACGTGTGCTTGTCGTTATAACTAAAGAAAAATCATGAATTAACTCAATTATTCTGATAGATTCGTTCCTTCATAAAAGATAATAAATAATAACATAAGCAACTCTTCAACTAGTCTTACAGGGCAGCCTTTCTCCAACCTGTATCTTCAGAACTGTAGGTCCTCACTATGGTATTCTGAGGAACTCCCTAGAAGTAGCTCAGGTTGAGACCCGGTGTGCAGACCTGAGAGCAGAACTTTTACTGTGGTATTTATAAACTAAGGGAAATTATAATGTTCTTTAGTTACAAAACATCCTACACTGTCTTCTTGTTTTAAAAACAAAATAAAACAAAAGACTAGTGTATGAAAGCATGTCATCTCAGACATTCCTTAACATTTCAACATTAAAATGCTTCTTATAACTTTGATTTTATTTACAGTTCAATAGATTTTCTTCAGCAGGAGCTTCCAACCTCCCCCAACTTGACTGTGTGGCATTTTTATAGTGACACAAGCTGCTGGAGGTTTTTTCTGAGGTTTTCAATATATTCTGAGCACTTGCTGAGAAGGCAAGTTGTGTAACTAAGCAAATGTGTTAAGTATGTAATTCAAACTTACTGCTGCCAATGGTAACCTTTCTACTGACTGTGACAGTTGGCACATGATTAAAAAAAAATTGATGGGAAACTAAAGCAGACTCAAGATAGATCAAATGCTCTCCTACAAACAACTGTACTTAGAATGGATGATTTATTTTATTTTGTTTAATTTTACTTTATTTTATTTTACTACACTTTGCCTTTCCAGATCATAATTTCTAGGTGTTTCACCCTCACAGATGGTCTGTAGAATGATACCAGTCCTGACTAGAATAGGTTTAGTCTTCAGAAATTCAATAAATTCTTGCAAATATAAAAGTGAAATTTCAGCAGAATTGTTTATTATCAGCTACCAGTAAAACAGAACTAAATCACAGAAGCTGTGGGACTTGTACCTTTCTGTAATACAGTTTTAACTTCATTCTGAAAAAACAGCCACCATTATGGGAGTTCTGTTCATAGGCAAAAATAGTATTACTGGTTGAAACATTCTCTAAATTCACCAGTCAATTATTGACAATTAAATAATGAGAAAGAACATAATCAAAATACGTATAATGTTTAATAGTCATCTTTTCAACCTGGTATTTTTAAATAGCCAGTACTATATTGGATAGCCACCATAAAACTCACACTAAAGAGGGTATCAATTCTCCGTTGGTCAGTAAGAGTTATGGTGCCACAAACTGAAAATATTTCCTGTTGAAAGTTGTGTATGACAAACTGTGCATCCATTTTTTAAATATAGCAACATGAAATTATGATAAATATCTGACTGGCTGTTTTTCAGAATGAAACCATTTATATTCAGGAAGTAAGGAATCAGATACGGCATCATCACAAACACAGGGAGTTCCTGATTGCACGGCTCTGATAGAGCTGCCTCAAGCAAGCATCAGAGCTGGTAGAAGCAGATGGGCTCCATGTGGCTGGTCTCAAGGCACTGTTTTCTCAGGATCTGCATGCATGCTTAGCCACTAAGTCTGAGGGTACTTCTTCAAAACCTTCCTCGCAGAGGGGTAACCTTATTCCCCTCATGAAATCGTAAGGGTGAAATTCTATGGAGAAATAATATGGGAGAAATTCCTCAATAATTTTATTTTCCTCAGTCTCTATGAGTTTTATCTTGATTTGTTTTTATAGGAGGGCACATTCTGGCCTTTTGTATATTTTTGTAAAAAAAAAAAAATTGGCATCACAAACTGCTGTTGTGATCAGTCTGCCACAAAGCTGAAATCTAGTCCTTCCGCTGCCATATGTTTCAGGGAAAACAACGTATCTGGCAATTTCAACGCTAATGAAGCCAGACATTGTTCAGATAAGAAAACTTCACCTATATGCAGATTAATGGGAGGTCTAGATAAATACTAGTCCCAGTCAATGCTTTCATCCTCGGTTTTATGGTGCTTATAATATTGAGAATATAATTACAGGAGAGCCTGATGGCAAAACCTATTATTAAGGTTCCCTGAGATTTCCCATAGTCAGGGAAGCCAGCTTCTGAGTCCAGCAGCTGATTGCGATCATTCTCCTCCGTAACTAGAGGTATATTGAGCCCGACCAAAGTCACGAGGACTGGCCATTGCTCCCTGCGAGTGGGTATCAGAGGTAGTCATTTATACTCAACCACTGAATTCCTAGGTTGTGTTTTGTTTTTTTTCTTTCTGCCTTGATCTTGCTCCAGCTCTTTTTTGTTATGTAATGTTATGTAAACAGAGTGTGAGTAAATTCAGGGTTTTCATCCTTCAGGCTAAGCAGTGGCATTATGGGATGAACACAAGGTGAGTTGGGTTTCTTGTTTGTGCTCTTTGCTGTTTAAAGGGTCCTGAGGTAAACCTGAGTGCTGTTTCACCAAGTTATGAAAAATATACCTATTTTTTTCCTACAGTGTACCTCCAACAAATGGTTGTAAGATGAGTGAGCATAGCCAAACAGTGGTTTACATTCACACAGGCTGATCTGGATGCTCCTGTGATGACAAACTTTCGTTCGATCACAGTACCAGCCCATGTTGTTAAATCATTATTCCATTACTTCTCCACATTGACTCCACAGCATGGAGAAGTTCACACAAACACCAGGGTAGCTTTGTCTTCAATTCCTTCCTCAAATGTTTCTTTCCAGTGATGCCTACCAAGAATTTAACAACAGCTGAGCTGCTGGTAAACTGAGATTAGTTTTATCGTGTTGCCCAGTGCAGTTTCCTTTAACTCCTCTGGCACTCTGTAGCCTTTTGTTCTCTTCTGCTTAGACTGAAAGTTATCTGTGGAGTGGATAATCTTCTTCTCTCTTTGCAGAGTGTCTGACACAGTAGAATATTTGTCCATAGTAGGGCTCCTAGGTGCTTATAATGACAATAAATACGATCATCTAGGGATGAATCAAGACCACGCAATAAAGGGAACGGATTCAAATTGTTTACCAAAAGGATCTGTTTTCCAAGAACTCTCATCTCGTTTGTTTCAGCAATCGGAAAGTAGGAGTTCTAGGAAGAAAAATTGAAGGCACTTAAGTTATTCCCTGGAGCAATGTGGCTTAGTTGCGTCTTTGTCATAGAAATTATTTGAAATGCAACGGCAAATTACTTATACCTGGCTTTTTCACTGGTAGCCATTAACAATGCATTTCTGCATTTTTGGGGTTCCCAAGTGCTGCAATTAGAGTCCGCATGTTTTACATACAGGATATGTATGCCTGACATTAATGGAAGCTATGATTTGAACCTGTACAGCACTAAATAATAATTGTAAAATAATAATAGCATTGTAAAATAATAACTATTGTCTCAATATGGTCACTCAAGATTAATTAAATTAATGTTCAGTTCACTCTTGCTAGGTGTCAGTCCCACGTGGAAAATGTAGGTGACTCAACCCTTTAACTTACAAAGCAGTTGTAAAGAAGAACAGGTACCTCTAGAACTGTTCCAGCATTGCTTGGAGGGCCATATGAATGTTCAGGAAGCAATGTAGTAATTCTCTCTTCAGAGGAAACAAATCAGTAGCGTTGAACACATGGCCCCAAGTACTACAGAGTGAAGAAACAGCCCCATTTTGCTGTTTGCTCAAGGGGGATGGTCTGTCTTTTACACAAACAATAAAATGAGCAAATGGTCTTAATGCAGCATTCCCGTGCTCTCAGGGTGTGGGTTTATTCTGTGCAGCTGAAGAGTTCGGTGGTTGGCCAGCCGTGCACATTTAGCAGGCCTGTGTTACAGGAGAACTTGCTGGGCCAGATTCTGCTTCTCAATGCACTTCTGTTACTGCAATGTTTATTCTAAGCAAGCTGTGAAGTATACAAAATTACATCAAAGAAGACTGAGCTATTTTGGGGAAAAAAAAAAAAAAAGAAAAAAAGAAAAAAAAAGTCGTTGAACTGTTACTCATTTACTCATCTACAACGTTAAGAAATCTTCTTTTTTGTGGATATTCTCCAATTCACTGTAGTTTACTTAAAGGAGAAAAAAAAAAAAAGAGGGACAACTCAAGTGAACAACCTCTTTTAGAAGGAGAACAAACTCGACCAGTTAAATTCAATACATAGGGTGCGACTCACAACATATTTACAATTTCCTGACTCATTTTCATAGCTGTGCATCATGAGTTTGTCACAGGATATGATGTGAACAGCGGTTCTTGAAAATGATCTTTTATCATTCAAATGTCAATCTTCTCAATAGCTGGTTAGGGGAAATATTTGCATAATATTATGAAGGAAATAAAGTTTATATTAGTATTAAAGGACAAAAGGAAATTTTTGTTTGCATTTATTTCAGCTATGAAGAACTCTACATTAATAACGCGAACCTGAAAAGCAGGAAGAGTATCTTCAGAAGCCAGGAAAT